GTAATGTTCTCCCTACCACTTACCTTCCTTTCTTTCAGCTCTTATAAAATAAGAAGCTCTATTTTCATGGAAGTCACTCAGTTCATCTTGAAGACTCCCTTTAGCTTGCCTGGAAGGGAACTAGGGCCTATTGGATGTGCCCCTAATGATTTCAAATGAATAGGATAATATTTACTTGTTTAATTCATCTTCATCACCTTAAAGGGATATTTGTCATTTCTAGCAGAGGTCACTGCTCTGTCCCCCTACTTCACCCTCCCCCATCTCTCTTTTCTTTTTCTAAATTGTAATCATAAATAATGAGTTTCATTCACAGTTCCCTGCCAGCGAGCTGCTAATTACGCAAAGTACTGCTTGTAATTTACACAGTAATAAAGTGTAAATTTAAACATTACAGCACTTTAAGTTAATAATTTTTCTGCTGTAACAAATAGCTCATTTTTCACCCATCTTTTCCCGTTGCCCCCCTACCATGTCTATGTCTATGACCAAGAAGCATGGCTGTAAGGGATGAAGAATATGAAGAATACAGTATGTGAAACCTTTTCATTTAGCTCCACTCCCACCCAGAATCTGGCCTCAAATTAATTTTTCTGTAGCCAGTTCTGCTAAGATGTGTGTCCTAATGTTTAGGCTAATCCATACACATAGATGAATACAGATAGTAACATTTGCCCAGAAATAAATGTGTTTGAGTAACAGGTTTGACATTCTTGACATTCGTGCCCATGACTTATGTTCTCTTAACACTTACTACTGCGTGTGTAACTCTTCCTGTATATGTGTTGGTATGCTTTCTTGGGTACTGTGGTAGATAGTCGTTGTAAATGTACTCAAATTAAATGAAGGGTGAGTGCCTTCTGCCATTTTCCAATTTTGTGGAGGTGATTAGTTTCTGAATTGCTTGTGGTGGTATAGGTAAGCTTTCACATTACAATCTCAAGAAAGAATCAATTTACACAAACTTCTGTTTTTACTTCAGGAGATGATGTTAAAGGGACAAAATACAGAGTGACAATTTTTGTAAGTTACAGAAGTCTTTTGACATGTATACATTTGGTCAGCAGATATTTAGGTTTTACCAGTGAGGACTCAGTAAGTGTCCCAGTATGAAGGCTGTTGACACTATCATCACATAACTGTAGGGATCTTGTTGTGCTGGCTTGTTAAAATTGGCCACTGCTGGATTTTCTAAAAAATTGTTTCTATTCCTATATACTTTAATAACTCCAGTATTACTCACTATATTAAAATACCATATATTGTAAACAATATTTATAATGACTTTTTTCGATCACCAGGGGAAAATAAGTTTAGGATAACACATAATACTTTTGAGATAGATTACCATAAAAAGAAATATAGTTGCTGTTGGATTTTAAAATTGACATTTGACATGTGGCTTTGAAGTTGCCTTGGCTGGCACAGCTATGGGAAAGTGTGAGCTTGATGACAGATTGTGCTTTATATATTTATTTCTGTGGTTGGATGATACTCTTGTCTTCCTTGTCTTTTTAGGAGACCATAAGTACTTTGGGTACTGAGAGGATAAGCCATATCATTAGTGACCCTCGGCAGAAAGAGTAAGTGCTTATGTATTTACTGGCTATCCTAGCCTGTTCCTTGGAGAAGGAGGCAGAGAGGAGTTTTGTGAAGCAATCTAGAAATAAGGCTTCAGAGCTGAAAGAAGAGATCCTAAAGATTTGTACTTTATAACAGTTAACATGGTTAATATCCTAAACCCATGACAGTGATTTTCTTTTCCTTTCTATTTTCTGTTTTTTGTTTTTTTATATCTATAGATGCTGCATTAGTAGACTCCAATAAGCATGTTATATTTTAAACTCATTTTTCTGTTTCTTAAAAAATTATTTTTGTTCAAAATGGGTGTTTGCCTCTACTCTCCTATGTTTATTCTCTTCCCATGTTTAGATTTCTTCATAGAGAAGTATCTTTTTTGTCTTAACTACTGTGGTATAGTAAATTCAGTGAAAAAGCCTGTATGTAGCTACAGGAGAATCATTCTGCCTTTTCTCGTGACAGCCTCGTCCCCTAACATAGTTGGCTTTTTCATGTATCCCGTGTGCATTATGGTCAGTACCCAGTTGTGATCCTATACACATCCAGCCTGGTTTAATTTTTAATTTACAAAATAGGCAAGATGTGCCCAGAAATAAATTTTATGCCCTTGGAGAGAGGGTTTTACTTTTTCTCTTTATTGATTAGGCTTGACAGATAACGTTCTCTCTACCACCACCCTTACTTACTTACTTTCAGCTCTTGTAAAATAAGAACCCTGTGCCCTTGTTGAGTTGGGGATCCTGTTGTCGCTGCACAGCTGAGAGTGCATTGGTGTCACACGGTAATTCTGGACTTATTTCTAGCCTGTCCAGTCTCTTAGATTCCATTTCAAGGCTTCTTCCTTTGATGAGTTATTTTCAGCGAAAAAGTTCACACACATTTAATATCTTTCACCTTTTCTCCTTCCATTGCATCTTTTCTCCATTTCTTTCTTTGACTTTACTTCATTATTCTAACATCTTTTTATCTTCTCCTCCCCTCTATAATTTTCCTACCACTTCTTTTATTGTTTTCTTTCCTGTTATTCTCTCCCTCTCTGTAGTTTCTGGTTACCATCAGCTGGGAAAAGAGAACGAAATCAGGTAAGATTGCTTTTCTTTGTCATCTGTATTTTATCATTTGGTTTCCTTTCCTTTAGAAAGAATAAAGCGTTGGCTTCTGATTTTCCTCACATTTCTGCCTGTGCACATGAGGTAAGGTTTCCTCTTTCCTGTGTTATTCTGATTTTCTTAGAGTACTGTTTTCCAAGAATATCAGTACTCACTGATAAGAACTATAGCTAATTCTCCTTTTTAGGTCACACTGTGATCATCAGTTTCTTCTCACTTGTAACATTTACCTCATAGGATTCCTGTTTTTATTTTAGTTTTGAACTTTGCAGTAAGAAAGCAGAATGAATCTCATCTGCTTTATGGTTTAGTTCAACATTCAAATCCTATGCTGAAGAGTATGATGTTGAAGCCTGAATAGATGAAGCAAAAGAAGGTAGAGCTGCTTTGTGAGTGAAGTGGGGTTGAGGCCTTAGAACCCTGCCCTCTTAGTCTTTTCCCTAGCTACCCCTTGAGGGGGTCCTTGGCATATTTAGTCCTTTGTGTAGGGGTCACAATTTAAAAATTACAGTAGCTATTAGTATGTTCCTTTATGTTTGATGCTTTTTGATTTTCTTGGAGGGTAAGTTTATCTTGGTGCATCAGTTACTTGTAAAATAGATGAAGTTTGATAGGTAAAAATTCTTAAGCTTCCTGTTGCTCAGTGTTTTTTGTTTTTTTAACTACTTAGTAGCTTATTGAGTTAATTTACATTTTAGACTTGGAACCTTCATAGTGAATTCGCTGTTACAAAAAGAACTAGAGCAATGGAAGACATAATTTGTAGATATTTATGAGGTTATTTTATGTGGTATGTGGATACACAATTTTTATTTTTAAATTATATCTTATAATGTATATTAGAAAAAATATAATTTTTATATTAATTTGTTTATGAAAACATAGTAAGGACAAGGCTGAGTAAAAAGAAAAAGAAAAATACTAAGTAAACGGTAGTGCAGGTGGTAGGCAGATAAGGAAAAAGTCATGAAGATGGTACAGTGGTGAGATACTGCAGTTTGGGGAACTCTAAGCTAGAGCACTAATCATGTTTATTTCGGAGGATCTAAAGGCAGTAGGGGACGTGTGGTGATCACCTGGTTCAGATCTGTTATTTACAAATGAAGAACTAGAGGTCCATAAGGTTTAAACTATTTGCCTGAAGTCATACAGCTAGTAGAAATGGGACTGGAAGCTCTATGGCAGACAGAACAGTTGCCTAGTTTGTATTTTCTTTACATACTTTTGAAGTTACCATTCAAAGTTCTTCTAGTCTTAAGGTATACTAAGTTCTGAACTTTGGGGGGTGGACTATTTATTGTGGAAAAAATCTAAAGAAAGCTAGCAAACATAAAGCGAGATGCTTTTATATATAGTATCCCATTTGATCCTTACCACCACCATTCGAGGTCAATAGATATTTTACAGATGAGAAACTGAAATTACTTTGTATCCTGAAGGCAATATTTCATTTAGCTCTCACAATAATCCTGTAAAATAGATAAGACAAATAGCAATACATCCATTTTACAGATGAGGACAGTAAAACTGAAAGAGATTATATCATTTTTTTTTCCTGCTGTTGGCGTGCTGGGGCGCCTGCAGTGAGCCTGGCCAGAATGTGACTGCCACAGCCTTCCTCCTCACCCAGGTGACCCTGGTTCCAAGGTTATGTTATTTTTAACACGCAGCAACTCAGTGGTAGTTTGGTACTAAAAGTTAGATATCCTAATTCTTAGTCCAGTTCTCTTTCCACTATACTATGGTGCTGGTATGTGCTAACCAGTTGTTCTTAGAAACATTTTGCCAGGGTAAGGAAATGAAAAGGTAATTTCATGCTAATCTTCTTTGGAACAAGGGCTAATACATAGTTGATAATCAATAGGCATAAGTTCTTGCTATGTCAGTTGGAAAGTACTGTCTTCT